TAAACGGCAGAATAGTTCAAAGACAACATGTCTACTGGTCAGCTAGTAAAGTAAATTGCTTTCATAAGGAAAGGTTCTAAGGGTAATACCTACATATCCTATGCTAGTTTCAACCGTTGAACTTTATCACCAAGTCTTTGTTTCACTTTTTGTGTCTCTCTCAATTTTCATTCATGTGGGGGATTGTTGGAAAAAATGAGGTGAATGGCTGACTATGGTATAAATTTTGAGTAGACCCGTTTGCTTATTTTGGAAGATTAATATTGATTTGTGTTCTTCTCCTTGAGAATATCGAAATCATCTATTTACTTGACAAAAATGAAGATTGGGTGAATAACAAATTGGAGTTCAAAGTGGATAATTGGAATATAGTTTATATTGGAGGGAAAACTAAATTTAAGTTTATCCCACATAGTAAGTTTATGAAAGCAAAAACCACTTTATATATGGCTACACTTTGGAAGTGTATAATCATGTGTAGTATAGATGCTCTCTCCACGTGTGCGCGCAAGAGGTGCAAATCGCTGACCGAAATAGGTTTCGGAATTTGAACTTGTGTGCGGGCACGACTGCGTACACGAATGTCGGAGCAATTGACCAAAAATTGGCCCTTAAGAGGGTCTACGTTTTGCCAAATTTTTTTGCTTTCAACAACTGACTTTTGATTTTTGGAACTGCTAAAACTCCAATGATTATTGCCATTAACGTTTGAAACTATTGAAACTCCAATGGTTATTGCCATTGAGTTAATGGATATATTTAACTCATCATTACTGGGGTAAGTCTATATGAAGTCTCGTTTTTCCACTGTTCCAGACATGAAAAATACACGGTTTGCATTACAGTTCCAAAACACACGAAAAATCTCTGTCTGCATGCGAAATTGTCTTCTGTCTGCATATATAATTTACTATCTGTCAAGGTATGGTGATGATATTGTTCAAATATTAAGTCAGTTCGCCGGAGTAGAATCCGTAGTGCTCAGACTCTATTGGTTTACCGTTGTATTTTAGGAAACAGACGCTCAAATTAAATATCAAGCACCTACGATGAGGGATCGACTATGTTTTAAGGAAACCGTGTTCACACAAGCCTTAGTTTTTAAAGTTCAATTGAATTTTTATTTTCTGTTATTTAGATTATTTGTTCTATTTTATCGTGATTTATATAACTTATTTTGTTCGTTGTGATTAACAAATTATTTAATTTGCTATATTTTAGCTATTATTCGGTAAGTTATTATCCATACGGTAAACTGCATATCTGGTATGTTAGTTGCATATACGATATGTATCCGGTATGTTAGTTTCATATACGGTAAATTGCATATTCGGTATGTGTTGTAAATTCGGTATTTGTTATACCGGTATTCATTCACGAATATTTTCTCTAACGACTATGGCCTGGTACTCAAAGGTACACCAAACCGTTCACAGTATTTTGCCAATCGACACCCAGAGTTGTTGCTTTTGATGCTGCTTCCCCAATCATCTTATTTGCAAAGAAAATTGATATCTTCTTGAATGGGCAGGTCGAAAGATAAACCTGGCCAGCTTTTAATTTCTCGACGGCTATAGTCTTCTTGGATGCAAGGGATGCATAAATCTGGGTGGGTCCCAGTGCCTGAGAAGCGTGCCTCAAGGCCATAAGCAAATATACACCTTCATCCCCTTCAATGAACCTGAAATAAAATCATGAAAAAAAGAAATCTTTTCTATCCCGACCACAATATGTTGATAAAAAGATTAGACTTTTGTGTACCTTCGGAGCTTTTGGGCTTTAGTGACAATTCTTCAATGAGAGCACGGCTGACTTTGGAAGAAGAAACAGCTGCTTTTTGAAATAAAGGTGGTGGTGGGCTTGGTGTGGGTGATAGAGAATGACGAAAAGAACCCATTTGAAAAATCTGTACCAAAAATCCTTCTCTCGTTTTTTGCATTGTTTTGTGTTGTGCAAAGGCCTCGTGGCCCTCGTCCTCACATAGAAGCCTCTGTTTCTGACTTTCTGTAGGATAATTTGGAGGCTAAAGTATTTATTGTCCTCTCTATTAAAACTCTCAAAAGAGAGATGTAGATAAGAAACAAAGCTTTCTGTAAATGACGAAATGGGTTCTTTGCTGCAATATCACTCTACCAGCTGCGTTTTTGGTTGATTTTGATCATATAAATATGTTGCCTTTTCAATTGGTTTATGGGAAGTGTAACAATGTTTGCTGTTTGTGGTGTGAGTTCCTACACTTTAGGTGGTGGTTGGTGGGATAGAGTTATTTTTGTTTTTTCAATTTTGATTTTTAGTTATTTGGTTGGGATTTATTTGTATTTTTTTTTGAAAAATTTGAGAGTATAGTTGCAATTTGTTATTTATTTTTCTTTTTTTTTTGATTTATTTATATAGGAGGATATATTCGTCATTTCACAACTTTTAATTGAGAAAATGGATGAAAATGATGATTTTCGCAATCATCCAAAACGTAGGGACGAAATAAGGGTGAAAATACCAAAAAATGAAAGGTAAAAAAGTTTTACACAATAATATTAAAACGTAAGGACATCTTGTACTCACTACCTAATTATTGCTTACTAAATGCAAGGTTTCCCAAATTTCATAGTCCAAATATTACATACACTAAAATTTGTTATAAATTATATACATATAAAAATTTAAATACACTAAAATTTGTCATATTTTGTT